TTAAGAGAGAAAAGTAAAGAATTGGAGGATAAGAACATTTTAAAGGAGACAATGTACAAAAAATTTAAATGCTTTTTTATTTTCAGAATTATTTTTGTTTTGCCTTGAAAGATCAAAAGCAGAATACTGCCTATGTTAGGCACTGAATATTCACTAAGTTTTGAAATTCCTCCAGCTCTACACCATTAAAAAAATTAACATACCGAAAGACTAGTTTAAGGTGATAAACTTTTATCAATTGATCTTAAAATACATAATTACAAGCATATTTTCAATTCTTAGATGTGAGTGCTAAAGCTGTATTTCTGGTACTACTGAATTCTGTTCTATATTTCCATGTATAAAAGATCTCACAGTCCTGGGAAAACACTTTTTTAAAAAATGAAATACAACAAATAAGGTATGCTGCCGAGTCCTGGGGGAGAAGTTTCCCAGAGTCTTTGAATTTCCTCCTATCCTCCTTCTTTACAAGATTTCTAAGACCAAGTCCTTTTCTGCAGTCTCTCAAACAAGGTAAAAAAGAAAAATACCCCCTAGATATATTCCTTAGATTTTCTATTATGCTTCTCAAGCTCCCAGTAGCTTCTGAAGTAAACCTAAGATGAATTCTGCAGGGTTTTTTTTATTATTATGTTTTAATTTTAGTTCTTTTTTAGGTCTAAGATGAAATAGATGATCATAACTGCTGTGCTTGGAGATCCATTTTGTGGCACAATTTGCACATGACCTGTGCAAGGTCACGTCACAGAAAGGAGACTGACATGGAAAAAGGCTGAATCCAGCTTTTTAAACTCAAAGAACTTTATTGTAACTTATTTAAGCTTACAGTATTTAGCAAAATACGGCAAGAGAAATTTCTTTTTAAACAGTATATATGTATTTAATACCATATATTTCTTTCTTACTTTTTTTTTTTGTCGGTCGTGGGGCTTGAACTCTGGGCCTGGGCGCTGTCCCTCAGCTCCTCAGCTCAGGGTGAGCACTCTACCACTTGAGCCATAGCACCACTTCCGGGTTTTTTGGTGGTTTATTGGAGATAAGAGTCTCACAGACTTTCCTGCCCGGGCTGGCTTTGAACCGTGATACTCAGATCTCAGCCTCCTGATTAGCTAGGATTACAGGTGTGAGCCTCTGGCACCTGGCTATATTTCTTTATTTCATTATGGCTTTGATATATCAGTTGCTGTTCAACCATTCATTGTCATGTCATGAGCCTCAGGGCAGATGACAACAAGCCACACTAATCATCATCTTTGCCAGCGGGATCTGGGTTCAGGGGTGCCATACCTTATAATACCTCTAGGCTTTGCTCATGCTATTTTTGCTGTCAGTTGACTACATGTTGGCAAAAATACATTTGCCCTTCACTTAAAAACATTAACACCCCTGAATTACTTCCTCAATACCCTTCTATGTGCACTTATAGCACTTTGTACCAGTTCCTATTAGTTTGATAAGATCTATTGTAATTGTTTATTGCCTCTATCATTAGAATATGAGGGCTTGTCCATTATGTTTTCCTGGATTTAGGACCTTCTCTGAGCCAGGATTTGTTCCAAGCACTTAAAATCTGCATCACAACTTTTCATGGTAGATATTATTGCTACCTCTATTTTTTTTAACTTCTATTTTACAAATGAGGAACCTAAGACACAGAGAAGTTATTTTCTCAAAGACACTTAGCTAATAAGTGCCAGTCATTGAATTCACACAGAGTGATCTCAGAGTTCAGATGTTAAAAAGAGAGGTTTAGGCTTCTCTAATTTGTCCAATCTAATTTGTCCATTTTTTCTGATGCTTAAATTGAGAAGTACATACTTTTGTCTTAAATTGATTTTACATATACCTTTGTAAATATGTGTTTATTTGTACAGAAAAAAATTCAGTCTAGGAAGAACACTTTGCTAGCGCTGCCAGGTCAACATCTTAAACTTCCCCCAGGTTCCACATCTTTAGATAGCTACAAAATCTCACATTGTAATTGTTCTTAGAGATACTCCTCTGCATATAGAGTGATATGAAAATACTTTGGAATATAAGTTGTTATTAGTAGGAAAAATATGTAGGTTGTTCTTGGTAAACTGATGACACTAGGCAATTTTACTTTTGCAATTATTTAAAAAGAGGGTTTTTTTTTAAAGAAATGAGACACCCAAATCATTACAAATGAGATATATTTATTTTCCCTCCTTGTATTTAACTTTACATCCCAAGTTCCTTTAGGCTCAATGTCACTTATTTTATCTTTCAAATAACTGATTAATTATTTCATTTATGTATATTCTTAATTTTTCTCTTTATAGTAATTCTTGCTCATTATAGAGTTGAAAATTTCAAAGCCATTTTAATTAACCATATATTATAGATCTTTTCTACCTTAAAAAATCTCTTTCAAAACATTATTTTTAATGGCTAGATAATATTTTATTACAATAAGATACAGCATAATTTAACTACACGGTCCTAGTTTTAACCATTCCAGTTGATATCAACTATTTACTACTTTAAATAACATTCTAAAAACATTCATTCATGTGGTGTCTGTAATTGTGCAGAGAAAAAGAAGCTTCTTACAATGTTCAAGAGGAAGTGTACTCATTACCTCACTCATGTAACTGTAACCCTCTGTATAGTATCTTTACAATTAAAAAAAAAAGAAGCTTCTTAGAGCCTATTTTAGTGGTTGTGGGAAGCCTACAGGAATACGGGTTCTGAAATCCCTCCCAGAAGGTTCTGATATGATCTGAAGAATTGACTTGTCTCCTCAACCCCTGAATTAAGCAATTTGCTTCATTCTATCCCAATACCCCCTACCAAAAAATACTTTAAAGTATCTATTTTACACTGTCCCTATCGATGAAATTGCTTATTTTCAGCATAGTGATTGGACCATCTCTGGAATTGCACTTTGGGTATATCCTTCACCTACCTCACTCCACCCATATATGGCTAACACTACATCCCAGGAAAAAGTTTCCATCCTACATATCAGTATCACTAACCACCTACTCCAAGACAACACCCACCCAGCTTCCCATGCATACTTGTCCATCCTAGCCTCAAAGAAGCCCTCCAAGATGCCCTTATTGAAATCATCTCTGCCAGCCCCGTCTCCTAACAACCCCCTCTTTATTTTTCGTAGCATAACACAGTCTGGGGAGGCATGGATTATAAAAATCTGTCTCCTTTATTTTACCACAAACTCCATGGAAACAGACCTCCAGTCTAACTGTTTACCTCTAAATGTTTGGCACAATACTTAGCCCATAGCAATGACCAATGACGGAGCAGTGGTTAACAAATATGGGCTCTGGAACTGAGGGATACAAAGGCAATTCTGAGCTGTGTGCCCTTAGGCCAGCTGTTTAACCTTTCCGAGACACCATTCACTTCATTAAGATTATAATAGAACTATTTTATGTTTGTTGTAGGTAAATGAACAAATGGAGAAGGTGCAGTGCAGAAGTACTGTAGAATACCATCTGCCAAGTAGAATGTATCTAATATAACCCTTAAAGGTACTCAATATCTTTTCAATCAAATAAATAAAACACAAGTGAGAACGTAGTTGTGTCTTTTCCCATCATTCTTCCCTCAGTCCCCTTCTAAGTGAAAGCTTCAGTTCAGTCAACTTCTGCCTGTATCAGGCTCCTTAAAATAGCTCATCTGCCCAGAGTGGTCAGATGAACACACTCTCCACACTAAGTTATATTACTTGCACCTTTGATCCTTTCAACACATCATTTCCCAAAGTATTACTAATATGGCAAGCCACCTCTCCTCCTTCAAGTATGTCCTGAAATGTGACCTCCTCCATGGAGCCCTCTTTAAATAGAACTGAGCTCATCATCATTCTATCCTTGTTTCCAACAAATAAACTAAAGGTTTTCGTTGTTTGAGGTTTTGAAACCCGAGTTTTTCACTGGTTGTGTGGGACTCAGAATTCCAGGGCTAGTTTGGGGCTCTCCTCTGTCTGCATTGAAGAATTAAGAGTTTCAGAAGTAATATGTTTGTTTATCTTGCTCTGTGTACATTTAGCACAGTGCCAGTTCACACGGATGTGATTTAACTGATTTAATGATGATTTACTTACTTTGTCCATGTCAAGTATAGAGACTATGCAGTCTTAAATCTTTTTCCCCTATGTCAAAATTGGTTTCAGTGCTAAGTCTATTATGTGACTGGTTTTCCATGTTTTGTTTCACAAAGGAATAGAGAGAAATTAACAAAAAGGAGAGAAAAATAGGAAATGAATAAAATTTCCACATTGTGAATCCAAATATATCTTAAGAGTAACATTTTATATTAAAAGGGGCCTCATGTAAAGTTTAGGTGCATATGCTTAACAAGTTACTTTGTAAATCTAAAATGGATACCCAAAACATGTCAATACTCATTTTTAAAATACTTGTTGTATTCGGTGCATGCACCATTATGGAGGACTTACATTCAGAGCAAAAAGATTTGTAGCTAAGCATATGACCTTCTTCCCACTACAATGACCATCCCCTAATTAGGCAATGCATCTGATAGTCATTAACAGGAATGAGATAATGAATCACTTTCTCTCTTCTTTGTTAATTTGCTGTAACCAAGCGGCTAATGGATGTCAGAGCTGAGTGATTGCACTGATTATAGTGATTTATAGTTGCAACAAAACAATTTAAAACCATTCTGATTATTCATGTTAAAGATGCTTTATGTTTTGTTTACTAAATGTTTTATGCCCCCCTTCCTCCCCACCCCTAAAGTACAGTCACCCTTCTATCCTGCCACTTTGCACAAAAACAAACCTCATCCTGGAAAACTTGAAAGTTTTGTGTTTTTTCTTTAAAGCCAGTTCGTTTTGTTTATGTCGAGATAGATAGCTAGATAGATGGATGTATAAAGTTTACCCACTAGAAATGAAAAGCCTTAGGGGTGGAAAGAAAACTTCAGTGGTGCCTAGTTCAAAAGAAGACAGAAATAAGAGGAAATAAGGCAAACTTCAAGCTACTTACCTTGGGGCTTCCAGTCCCTTCCTCATCCTCCACAGACACATCAGTAGCCAGTATCTTGGCTTTGATGGTATCCAAGGCTCTGAGAATCCAGCTGTGTTGCCGTTTGATTTGCCTCTGCAGCTCTTTCCATTGACTTGCAATCATCTTCAGCATGTCCTTCAGTCCTTCTCCAAAAGGAAGAAAAAGTACAAGTTGTGGACCTGCCTGCATCTTTAGCCATTATCATTTTTTATTTTACAACTTAGGTGTTTATTTCAAATAAGATCCATGTTTTTAAAGGACCTTATCATCGACTGCCATATTAGCATTTGTCACTCTGAATAGACTGACAATTCTTGACACAAGACATATGGACATAAAACAGATATATGTAGATGCCTAGTTTGAACATTGACTTAGACTCCGTGTTGGTAATTGAAAAAGCACAGGTGGACAAATAATGATGTATAAAAAGAATTAACAGTATAGCTTCACATTCTAAATAAATGGTTCTGTGTGTTTCTTATAGAGATTTTATGATAAAAGGTGCATAGAAATTGGGAAAGATAGTTCTAAGAGAAATATGGTAAGTAGATCAGAATTGACACAGCATTCTTTACCATCAATATATCCAATTAATGCTGTTTTTTCAATTTATCTGTAGTAAATTCAATGGGCCATCCTGTGATTCATCTAACAGGTTTTTTTTATGGTCAGCATGACTATAACCAAAGAACAAAACTATTCTATATTTATAATCTGTATCTGATAAATATGTTAATACTAGACTACAAACTAGTTGAAGGCCAAAACTCTGCATGTAGATTCACAGGGAAATAATCAGATACCCCTAGACTGCTAGCTTTATATCTGTAGTGGTATCTATAAGTATCCTAATGCATATGCATTATAACTATAAGCAAAATTCTCATTCATTATCTTAATGTTCTTTCTAGAGCACTCACATCAAAAATCATGTCAATATGAAATTTTCAGGAATATGATTTCAATTGAAACTTAGGTGAACAGCAAGCCTAAAATAAAATGAACAGACCATTTGGAGGCAGTATTTCATCTTGTAAGTATCACAGCATTGTATGCAGTATATGAAACATTTATAAATCTTGAAGGTCAATCTGATAATGTAAATATTAATAATACATAAGGAAGTGAATATATGCAGTAATTTACAGCAATGCTTCTTCATTCTTAATAGTCTGGAGACATAAAGACTTGCAATATTTCAGGAGGATTTACCTGCTTTGTGGGATGCAATAAGCTCAAGAAGTTGGTGTCCTTCCTCCTCCACAGATTCCTTGAGAGCACAATGACTGTCTACATTCAACTTAAAACTCTGTATAGAAAAAAAACAAGCATCAAACTCTGACAAGTCAGTTGCAAATAAAACACCCATACAAAATTACTTGTTATTTTTTATCAAGAACCACACAACCCAATTTACCTAACAGACATACTAATTTTCAATACTAAAAACTATCGGCATTTGGGGTCTAGGCTCAAAATATTTCTGTTACATTACAGAGTGCATCTGTTTGGAAACAGCTGACAAATCTAGAAATTCATTATGTTTTTATGAAAAGTCACATCCTGTAGGCTATATCAACAATAGCAGTGTCCTATAAAACACATTGAATTTCTACCAGCACATATGAGTTCTTTTTTTCGGGTTTTAAGAATGTTATGATGGAACTATTTATGAAACCATAAAAAATTTGGCAGCAGAAAATATACTGGCCTTATGCATGCATGCATTCATTCATTCATACATACATACATGCATACATACATAAAATCAATTAATATAATAGGGCTTGATTCAGCAGTTTCTCAGATACCACATAAACCATGGAACATACATGTGAACTTAGGTGCTATCTTTTCAAGTTTTTACTTTTTAAAACTTTATTCCTTAAGATGTCATGCCTTATAAATAAATCAGAAGCATTTTCTATCATTATCATCAACCAAAAGACAAAAAAAACTGCTATCACAATTTAAATCTAATTCATAACAATTTATATCAGAAAGCCTTTCATCCCTAATGTCTTCTGTGGTATCAATCATTCCTTTCTTTCTGCTGCTCATACTTGTTTCTATTGTAGAATTCATCACTCTATCTGTTTCTTTATTTCTACTTTTGTCTACCAAATTGTAAGTAATTTGAATAGTTGTCAATATCACATATATCTCCAATTCATGTCACATAAAGGTGTTCAATAAAGTGTTGCAAACAGTGGATATCTGTTGAACTTGATCAATAACATTCGCTAAAGAGAAATATTTGCTTAAGTATTTTAAAAAGCACAGACGGTTTTCAAAAAAATCCATTTATAGTATGCTATAAGGCATTACAACCACAGCCAGTCCCTAAAGAGTAATCATACCAATCAAATGACTCACTGGTTAGTTTTCAGACTGATAATTCACTCCTTGACTCAACTAATTAGAACAAGGTGGTTTTTGAAATATTCTATGCCAAATTTTGGCTTTCTATGATAGAAAAAATAAACATGTTGGCCTGCAGGCACCAGTGGCTCATGATGATAATCCTAGTTGCTCAAGAGGCTGAGATCTGAGGATTGTAGTCCAAAGCCAGCCCAGGCAGCAAAGTTCATGAGACTTTTATCTCCAATTAACTACACACACACAAAAAGAAGAAAAAGCTGGAAATGGAGCTGTGGCTCATGTGATAGAGTGATAGCCATGAGCAAAACAGCTGAGGGGCAGTGCCTAGGACAGATATGCACACACACACACACACACACACACACACGAACACATGCTATATGTCTTGCTCTCATTAAATATTTATTTACAAATAGAGGCATACTGTACCATGCTTGTATTGAGAATATTTGACAGAAATTTAAAATGATATAATCCAAGTTAGAATACAATTTGGATTAAATAATCATGACTTATAAAATCAGATATTCATTAATTCATCCAGAAAGTATTATGGATCTGTTCTGTGCCAGGCAATAGAGATTTGGAGGGTATAAAGATGATTTCTGATAACAGAGGACAACTGCATATCTTATTAGGAGAAAGAAGTTCATGCTGAGTCTTATTGGATGATTAATGGTGAATCTGGACTCTTCATTTCTTCATGGATTAAAGTCTTTTTAGAATGAAGACAGAAACAGAATTTTTTTAAAGATCTGAAAATTAAGGAAGAATAACAGGCAGTATAAAGATAAAAATTTTAACAAAAAGAAAAAAGATTAAAATGGTGAATGTTCACCTAACTTTCTTTCATAAGACACAGTACTATTTCTGAGGAAAAAAACCCTTAAGTTCATAAGGAAACACAAACATACAAAAACCCACAAACAACCCTACACAAAAAAGGTAGCTAATATTTGATTTCATACTACACGAGAGAGTTACAGTAACAAAATCATCATGGTACCCACACAATAGCAGACATGTAAACTAACAGAATAAAACAGAAAACCTAGAAATAAATTCACACAGCCACAGTCATCTGATTCTTAACAAAGGTACCAAAAAGGTACCAAAAATGATACTGGGAAAAATGGATATCCACATGCAAAAGTCTAAAACTAGACTGCAATCTCTCATCCTGTACAAAAATCAAGTTAAAAATGGATCAAAAGCTTAATGTAAACCTGAATTTTTTAAACTTTTATTTTATTGTAAAGTGCTATACAGAGGTCTTAGTTACATGAGTAATGTACATTTCTTGCTGAACATTGTTACCCACTCAACTGTTGTTCTCCCACTATCCCTTCCTTCCTCCATGCCTCCCCACTCCACCCCACCCGCAAGTTATAAAGTTCATTTCTGACAGTGTCCTGTGAGTACCATTGTTGCAATGGTTCATCCTTTATACTTCTTTCATCATTTTGTTATTTCCCTTCCTTCCCCAAATCAGATGGAGGGTACCAGGATCAAAACAGAGATTGCCAGGGATAAACCAATGGAAAAAGAAAAATGAAATACAATAAAAAGAAAGAACTAGATACAGTACATTGGTAACATCAAGGCTGACAGCTGAAAAAAAAAGTCCTGTTGTTTCCATGTCTTAGAGTTCATTTCAATTAGCATCATTTTGTATGGTCATATGTACATAGCACTTGAGATATTATGATTCTGTGCTAGGACTATCCTAGACATATACTAATTATTACAAATGAGGGCAACCACAGAGCCTATGTTTCTTTGGGTCTGGCTTACTTCACTTAATATGATTTTTTCCATGTCATTCCATTTACTTACAAAAGGGGTGATGTCATTCTTTCTGATAGAAGCATAAAAATTATATATATATATATATATATATATATACATCACATTTTCTTGATCCATTCATCTATCTGAGTTGGTTCCATATCTTAACTATGGTAAATAATGCTGCAATGAACATAATTGTGCTGGTAGCTTTAGTGTGGCCTATCTTAAGATCATTTGGATAAATGCCCAGGAGTGGGATTGCTGGGGAGATCTATGTTTAGTCTTTTGAGGAACCTCCATACTGCCTTCCAAAGTGTAAGCCTGAAATTTTAAAGCTAGTAGAGGAAAACACTGAGGGAGAACTTCAAGACTTAGTAATTTGCAATGCTTTTCAACTAGGACTTTTAATAGCTTGGAAATAATAACAAGAATTGAAAAATGGAATTGCATCAAATTAAAAAAGGTTTATACAACAAATAATTACCAAAGTAAAAAGTCAGTCTACAGAATGAAGAAAGCCATGCAAGCTATTCAGCTGATATGGGATTAATATCTAGAATAAAGAGCTCAACAAATTAAATGCTAAAGAACAAGTAATTCATTCAATAAGTGTGAAAATAAATTGAACAACCATTTTCCAATGAAGAAGTATAGATGGCCAATAAATGAAATGAAAAAAATGTTCAATATCTTCAGCCAACAGGGAAATGCCAATTGAAACAACAGTAAGATTCCATCTCACCCCAATCAGAATGGCTATCATTGAGAAAACAAACAAGAAATACGGGCAAAGACGTGGGAAAAAGAATCTTCATACACTGTTGATGGCCATGTAAATTAGCCCAACCATAATGGCAATCACTAGAACTGCCAGGTGACCCAGCTATGTCACTCTTGGGTATATACTTAACAGAATAAGTCAGCATACAATAGAGATACCCGTAAACCCATTTATTATTTTTATTGTGAAAATACCGTCCAGAAGGGTTATAATTACATGGGCAAAATAATGAGTACATTTTCTTATCAAGCATTGTTGCCTCCTCCTTTGTTTCCCCTTCCCATCCCTCCCCATCTCCCACCCACCCTTCCCCCTTTCACCCTCCCCAAAGTTGTAAAGTTTGTTTTTCGACATAACAACTTGTACATTTCATTGTTGCAATGGGTCCACCCGTATCCCTATTTAGACAATTTGTTTTTGCCCTTCCCCTCCACAAATTATACCAACATAAAATACAGTGAAAGCAGGAGTTATACCATGGGGGAGGGACATACAAAGCAACAAAGAAATCATCTTATAAATATGTTAGAAACAATTGCATGAAAGAAAAAAAAACATTTGAATACTTATCTTGGGGTTCATTTCACCTAACATCAACTTGTCTGACCTTTTCTGCTTGACTCAGACATATATTAGTTCTTGCAAATAAGGGAAACCATGGGACCTATATTTCTTTGGGCCTGGCTTACTCCCATTTGTTAGGAAATGGAAAGACTTGTAAACCCATTTATTGTAGCACTATTCACAATATTCAAGTGACAAAATTAACCTAGGTACCCAGTAACAGATGAATGAAAAGAAAATATGGCGAATATACACACTGGAGTTTCACTCATCCAAAAGAAGAGTGAATTGTCAATTGCTGGGAAATGGATGGGATTGCAAATCATTATGTTAAACAACATAAGCCAGACTCAGAAGGACAAATATAGCATGTTTTCTCTTATATATGGAATCCAAGATATGAAAGCACAAGGTGGACTATTTGAGAAGAGGAATGGGATGAGAGGAAGGAGGAGACAAGAGAGGGAATAGGGGAGTGAGTAACCAAAGTTCATTATATACATTTATAATATACATTATTTTGTACAAGATTATTTTGTACAATAAATGTATGCTAATAATAAATCTATAGCAAAAAGAAATAGTAACATTTCAACCAAGTATGACAGAAAGTTATAGTATTAGATTGCCCTAAGCGTTGTTTACCCTTTCTTGCATTGTTCTTTCAGCCATGGGTATTTGAATGAATAAAATAAATGATGACAATAAATGGGAAAGCCAAATCTTCTGGTAAATCCAAATAATATTGAGTATTAGTATTTCATAGTCAAAACATGGCTGCATTTACCTTT